ACAACTTTCTTTCAAAAATTTAAGTTTTGTGCGAGTGAAAAGGAAAATCACGCATATCTCTCTATAGCCTTCTTGTTTTTACGCATTCGCCATAGACCAATAGCGTACGATATACTTTTTTATGAACATGGTAAGAGTTTTCATCTTGCGGCTCCATAAAACGTTAAATATTGTAACTATTTTATTCCAGAACAATGTCTGATAATCCTATAGAGGTAATTGAACCAGAGGCATTTACTCTCAATGCCCCTGAACTTAAAATGTAAGTTGGAATCGTTTTTATCCTAAAAGGTGCTAACTGTGATTATTTAAGAACGGAAGGGATGTATGATTTTTTTTATCTCAGTCTTGACTTCCCCGGTTCATCTTTTGTTCGTTTGCTTATTTGTGTAGAATAAGCTTTTTTCAGAAGGGCTGAGTTCATTTATAACTCTGGGAGACAAACTAGAACCTCGAATATTTCATCCAGATCTATGTGTCATTTCTTCTGCAGCCTGCCCGCTGTATTCAACCGGTTTTTAAATTCTCATGGCTTAATTTCTTATTGCAAGAGACGTTTTCCCATTCTTTTCGCGAAGGGACAGTTATGAGGTTAGCTAATACATAAAGTTGTGAAGTAAGCTGCCAGTGTTCTAATTCTCCACACTGCCTGCAAGATTAAAAACTGGAGGTTTTTCATGACAGATTTCTTCTGCGAACGAGGTTGAAAACGCTGACGTCTGAGTCCTTTTCAAGTACCCATGCTCAAGATTTTCGGATGTAAGTGTCTTTCTTAAATAGGTGTATCTTTAATTTGTTCTAATAGACTAGAACCGCGATAATGCGAGCGCAAAAGATAAGTGTTCGACTTAAGTTAACTCAGTATCTAGTTTAATCTAGAGGTAGAAATGAAGTGGTTTTGATGAATGTTTCTTTCCAATTTAGACTTCCAGTGATGCGTGATAAACAGAGACAAAAAGAGACCAAAGATACAAAAGTGACTACGAAAATAAAAAAACACTCGCCTGTGGCTCGTTTTTTCCACTTTTTTTAGTTAGACGAAAAAGACGAGAGGCAGGAAAATGTATCAAATCTTTAAGAAGCCACTTTACATGCGAATTGTTTCGTGGAAATGAATTTATTCCGGAAGTAGCAATGCAATGTGATCTTTAACTTATGCATCGAGAACGGTTTATTCGTGTTTTTCTCGTAATAGCCTTCATTTAAGAAATATTTTTCTTTCCGACTTTAATTCAGCACTATAATAGGCTGATCGGTGATAATAGAGACGATCGTGTGTGGTCATTGCAGAATTTCGCCTAACAGAATAGTGAGAGTGATTTATTACAATTACCCGCCAGGCAGGAACTACTCCTTGTATCTGTCAGTATGAATGAGTGCAGGATATCTTACATGCTTCTATTGAGTGGGACAATGTTTCTTTAAAAATATTTTTTAACCATGAAATACAAATTGTTATGGTATCTGAATTTATTTGAGCTACATAACTTTACAAATGCATTGCATACTAATTCGAGATATTTGGAAAAGTGGAAAAAGGTCGGCCGTTCCTTCTCTTTCCAAATCCTCCTTACGGCAATGATAAATCTGTCTTAAGGCCATGTTTTGGTAATGGTCATAGTTTCTTTACCACCAGTCATATTTGAGATTCGCTGAAAGTTGTGTTAGGCGCCAACGATGAAGATTTTAAACATACCCCAGCAGCTAAGCTGCGTGTCTCATTCTAAGTCTCATAAACCTTGGGAATACTGTCAATATCGTCAATTCATGAATACAGAGGCTAAAAATTCCGATCATAAAGTCACGTTCAGAGAAAATGGGCGACTGACTCTAAACCTCCACCTCCGAGACAAGATATTCACCTCGTCCTGTGTCAAACCTATAATTCATTCAATTTGGCATCCATTTTTCCTCAGGAATCCTCTGGAATCACATGAAGAAGCCATCAAAGTCCCCTCAACTGATACCTCCTTTGAGGAGGAGACATTGATAATGGTTCTGAATCGTCTCGGATTCAGAAAAACGACTCACCGTAACTACAATATATTTCTACCCTGTCCGTTGGGAACATTTTCAAACTATAACTTGTTTACTTTGGAACCAAATGTGGAAATATGCATAGATTGTCCTCCAGGTATGTTGTACTTGATTCCAAAGAGCATCATCGAGACTGCTGGAATTCCAAAAAAGGATTCTTCATTAACTTAGCAGTCTGGGCCATTTAAGGAGTCTCTTAATGCAATATTTAAAACTCTTACTCCAGCCCAAATGTAGGCATCCAAAATTGCTTGGAAATACAAGTATTTGTGAATATCATGATAACAGAAGGGAACTAACGTATATGTACAGACGGAAAATTAGGGTCAGATGTACTTTTCGAAAATTCGAGCATTACGCTTCTGAGCGTCACACCCGAAAACACAGCATTATGCCCAAAAATTTGCTGATGATTTGGCATTACACTCCTCTTAATAACTCAATGTAAGAGTGTCTGAGAGCTCTTCAACAAAAAAATTATGGAAAGGTACTATCATTGTGACTTTACGCAACTGTACGTGTTTGTGCTCAAGACTTTCAGTCATTATGCTCGATGCTCTGACTATAGCATTATGCCCGAAACTATTCCGGCACCATGACAAAACGTCATTCACATGTAATACCAAATTTTTGATCTGGGAATCTTCAGTAACTTCAAAAGAGAAATGGGACGAAACTTAAACAGACTACAAAATTACACAAAGATGTCAACATAACACAGGTTTGCAAGATATACATCAGACTCAGACAGCAGCCTATGTGCAGATGGATACGAGGGACCAATATGCGCCGTATGCAGCTCAGGATACCACAAGCAATTCCACAGTTGCAAAAAATGTCCATCAAAATGGTGGATCGTGGGACAGTTGTCTCTTATGGCTGTGATTTTATTAATAACATTTACCCTTTTGACATGGAAAAGGAAAGCAAAGCTTGCAATGGACCATGGTCACACTCTTATGGACACATTCTTATCCAAACTTAAGATCTTAATCGGTTTTTACCAAGTCACCCACGGCTTACTGGACGTTTTCTCCTATATCAGCTGGCCAGACCCGTTAAAAGGTGTTGCAAAGTACTCAGAAGTGCTACAGCTAAATTTGCTTCATATAGCACCTGCTCACTGCCTTTTTCCAGAATTACGCGTGAATGCATTTGGAGACTTGTTTGTGATCTTGTCAATCAATGCAACCGCCATTGGCGCTTCTGGTGTGTTCTACGGTATTCGTAAGAGAATCATCTTACAAAATAAAAGCCTGGAGGACGAAGAAAAACCAGGCAAGATCTCAGAGATGAAAGAAGTCGTGTACAAAAATGTCTTCTTTGTCCTCTATGTAACTTATCTGAGTACGTTTTCCAAGACAGCCAGCGTTTTACAACTTGCTTGCCGTAAAGTCTGCAGAGACAAAAATGAAGAGTTGTGCAACGAGTACCTCAAAGCAGACTACAGCTTGAAATGCCAAGGCTCAACATATAACCACCTGCTGATTGTTGCATACATTTCCACTGCGTACATCTTAACTCTACCCGTTGCTTCATTCATCACCCTTTGGAGGCATCGGCGAGCAATGCCAACCAAGGCAGACGGTGACGGTTCAGGCGTTGGCACGGAACTTGTTGAAGGACTACGGTTTCTTTTCGGAAACTACAAACCACATACGTGGTACTGGGAACTGATTGAAATGTCTCGAAAAGTGGTTTTAACATCTGGCCTTATTCTTGTGGGTCATGAAAGCAGGTCCTACATTGGTCTGGCATGGGTCGTGGCTGGTGTGTATGGAATTCATTTCTCCTGGATGAGACCTATACAGGACCCATTCGAAAACAGGTTAATGACGACCTCCATTGCAGTTACAGTTGTCAACTTGGGTATCGGTGCTGTGAGCAAAATTCCAGCAGAGAATATATGTGACGCAGTGGATAAAGACGTGGATGCTTTAACAATGAAGATACTGATTCTTGGTGTAAATACTCTTGTAATTGGCCTTCTTGTTGGTAAGTACTGATAAATTGTTCATGAAAAAATTTGAGCAAAATACTTAGATTAAACCGCCTCTTGCTTCTTGCTTTTTCAAACCTGCTCGTGGACGCTAAATTGGGCATTCACGACTATGCTTTCCGATCAAAGTATTTCGACACGCTTGGATTTATCGTTATGTATTCTTTTGTATTTGGCTTTGCGAGGAAAGTTATGAACAGAAGATATATAATTAACTTTATAGGGTTAAATTTATGCTAACGCAAGGAATAAGCCTTGCTTCTTTCTAATATCTTAAATAACTTCTTAAAATGTAAACTGGAACAGTCTGAAATTGTTGATAGCTTTAATCTGATAGGAATTCTGTGCAGAAATCACACGATGGGTTACTTTAGTGCTTCATATTAAAAAAAAAATTATTTTTGCTGTTGGCAAGAATGATCTGTTGGCAGAAGGAGAAGCGGGGAAAGGGAAAACGCCATTAATTGCCTGCTAATTTTTTTGGCTCACACGAGGAGATTTAGCAGTCTAGAGAGTGATTATTTGTATACCCTAATATTTTGGGGGTGGATTGACCTATGGGGCGTGGATTACTTCGGTGAAATGCTGCTGAGCTGAACAACCTTTATTACCAGAAAAAAAATTGCCAGAAAAACTTCTTATGATTTGAATTTTATTTTCTTTACTATCAGTTCAATACTTTGTGTACTTACATCAGTATTTAAAAGAGTGGCGTAAGAACCCGCAGTGGTCCTTTTCCTGTTGCTTGGCGTTGGTTCTTCCTCTCAATGATTTGCAGGGGGAAATTCGCGGTATGGTTGGAAAGAACATGCTTAAAGCACAGCTTCAAACAGGTATGATGGGAAAACCTTCCATTAGTGCCTGCGCAAAAGAGAGTGGGGCAATGAGTTTTCATCTATCTCGAGAAGACGTCGATAGAGATGATGCAAATACGACAGAATTCCATGAGCTACACTTGAAGAAAAACAAACACCGTCAGAACCACCGAACAATCAAGTATGACCTTGGTACACAGACAGAGGTCACTATGCCATCATATGTTGCTACCCATTGGTTTCTAGAGCGAGCAGATATCTCTGTGAGGACATTGAATATTTAAAATTTATGCTAAAACCGATAATTTTCACAATTAAACTAGTTTGAGCGGTAGAATCAAATAAAAAGCGCGCTTTACTACGTCCCTTACGCGGGGCGATCAGGCACCATCTCCTCCGTACGAATGATAAAGGTCTGAAACGTTATCAGTATAAAAATCAATATTGAAGTCATTTGATTATGTGTATTTGCTTTTGGTCATGAATACTTTTTTCTGGTCATTCAACCTGCGAATTATCTTTGTTAGTATAAACAACCAAAAGTAAAGATTCAATTAGCTCGTTCATTATACTCCACATGCCCCACTTTCATATTACCATTACATTATATTAAATTCACGAGAAAATTTATTGGGTATAATTCCCTTATACTCCTGTAGTATTTGAAGGGCTTCTTCCAGTGATTCATTCCTTTTCAATCGACATCGTACCTTCATTTACATGCTCATCTGTCTCTTAGAAGTTTTATCGTGTTACTAAGATGACGGATCAGTCGGAAGTTTGGCAGTTTTTACACACAAACAGTGTAAAACCATGGCTTTTGCGGCTTTTCCTTTGTTCTGCAAGAAGTGATGGAATTCTATCAAGCTACAATACTCATTATGTTCTGTAACTTTATGTTTCCTTTCCACCAGTTGGACACGACCCTTTGAGCATCAACTGTCACCTCAAAACAGCGTAGTCGCATTAGCAGAAGGGAATGAAAAAGGAAGCAATTTACATGAGAAAGCAATAGCTCCTCGATGTACCGCCATGTTCGGTATTACGCGATCAACCTTCAGTTAAATATTAATATATCAGGGTCATCCAAAATCGTAATTTGTGTTGGTGCTTTAACTCTTTAACTTCCGGAAGTGATTAACATGTAACTTCTTCCAATGATATCCATACATTATCCAGCAATCAGGTAATGAGAATACTCAAACTTATCAGGCAGAAGTTGTTATCTCGATCTTACTACAAATTCTTGTAATTAATTTACAAGGAGATGTGTTGCAGCCAGAAGGGAGAATTTACAATCAGATCTTGGGAGTTCAAGGGTTAATTACGTGACCGTGGTTTACATTTTGATAGCTGAGGTTTTCTGTAAGAAGTTCTATGTATTTCCTGAACTAAACCTTTTCCTGTTTTCTCTATTCAAATTGAATTAGAAAATTTTTAAGGAAACGGATACAGAAAATTAATAGATAGGAGAAAAGGTTGTTCTTGCATGTTAAATTTTTCTAAACTGCTTTATGTATGTTAAAAATCAGTGTCATTTAATGTCAGTTAAGTACACTTATATGTTACGAGACGTATCAGTAAAAGTTGAATATGCCAGATATCGATAACAGTCATGAAAAAAAAAGGATTGTCGGTTGAACCTGTCTTAAGACATTTTTTTAATTCAAGACAGCAGAGGCTTGTAATGATCATCATAGTATAATATAGATTATTATATTAGAAAGAAAAGAAAACCAAGCCTAATTAATGTCCCCTTATCTATTCGATGTAGCCAAAAAATAAACAAACAAAAATCATCTCAAATTTTTTCGTTCCGCATCGTAGATTAAGGCAAAATGCGAGTCAATCGAAACCCACCGCTGTCCCGATGTCCCAGCGGATTTGGACCGCCCCTAGATTTGGACCCCCCGGTCCAAATCCGTTAGCGGATATGGACCCCCCAACAAAACTGAGTGAAAACATCATCCTTAACGTTCTAGTAAAAATGGATGATACTTTACGTTTCAGTGCGTACCAAAGTATGTTCTTAATTCAAAACATGCGTATCGTTAATAATAAGAAAAGGGACGTTTTTTCCCAGGGGAGGTCGATGATTCGTATTTTGCTTCTTTTATGCCCACACCTCAGAAAATGCGGTAGATGTAAGAGTGTATGAAAAAGGAATAGTACCGAGTTATTTATTTCCAATATTCTTTGCGAGATTTAGGTTTAAAGCATGGTTCTCGATTCATATTTTTTGTGCTGCTTAAAATTTCGAATTCCCAAGCTTCCAAGGTAATATTGTTTGGAAATGAGTTGTTTTGATTTACAAAAGCTAGCTTTTCTGAGCCGTCATTTTACCCGGGATTGCAATGCTTTCCATCATTTTGCTCCGAGACCGAGGTCGATGACGAATAATATTCGCGTCACCCTCGCAGCTAATCAGATCCGATCTAAACCCAATACCAATTGCAAGTTAGTTATATTTTCCCGTCCTCCAGGCAGTTTACTTATTCCCTTTCCTATTATTTGCCCATCGCGATGCTCCATGGTAATAGGGTACCTAAAATTTGTTTTGGAACTCTAATAAATACTCTGGAGGTCGTTTTTTCTCGTCCAATTTTCTTAAACTTCCCCAGGGTGTGGAGTTGGCGCGTTTGAAGGGGT